CTATTATACTTAGAATGAAACCTAAGAGAGAAGCCCTAAAGATCCCCCCAAAGTCTGGGCCCTGCCTATTTCTCCAACCTCAAATGAAAGCCTTCTTTTTTCTCCAATCTCCTTCTCTTTTCTCCAACCACCTCCTTTCACTTCCTTAAAAGCTGTAAACTTGCCAGGCTTGGTGGCTCAGCCTGTAATCATGCAACTTCGGAGGCCGAGGTGAGTGAATTGCCTGAGCCCGCAGGTTCGAGACCCACCTGGGCAACTTGGCAAGACCTCATCTCTACAATAAATCAAAAAAATTAGCCTGGCGTGGTAGCGCGCTCCTGTAGTTCCAGCTACTTGGAAGGCTGAGGCGGAAGGATTGCTGGAGCCCAGCAGGTCGAGGCTGCAGTGGCCGCTCCCAGCCACTGCACTCCAATCTGGGTGACAGAGTGAGACTCCAACTCAAAAAAAAAGCTGTAAGCTCTTCCCTACCTCATGGTCCTTGCCCTTGCAGTCCCCTCTTCACAGCACTCTACCCAATGGCCAGCTCCTTCTCATTCTCTGAGTTAAAATGACACAGCCCCTATACCTCTTTTTAACTTCGTTCATAGCATTACCACATCTTGTGGTTATTATTTATTTGTTTACTTGACTTTTTTTTTTTTTTTTGAGTTGGAGTCTCACTCTGTCGCCCAGACTGGAGTACAGTGGCCAGTCCTGGCCACCACAGCCTCGACCTGCTGAGCTCCAGCAATCCTTCCACCTCAGCCTTCCAAGTAACTGGAACTGAATCCAGCTAATTTTTGATTTATTGTAGAGATGAGGTCTCGCCAAGTTGCCCAGGAGGGTCTTGAACCCACAGGTTCAGGCAATCCACTCACCTCAGCCTCCCAAAGCACAGGATTACAGGCTGAGCCACTGAGCCCGACTTGTTTACTTGATTATTTACTATTTGCCACACCATGAGTATATCCCAGGAGGACAAGGACCATGCTGCCTTGCTCACCACTGGCTACCCATATGCCAAGTGGGGTAGACACTCAATAAATATTGGATAAATGAAAAATAGAGTGAGCAAGCGAGGAAATGGACAGACTTCAGATAAGTGGGGAGGGAACCTGAACAGAGAAGTGCTGGACATAACTATATGAACTATTGAACATTTGGCATTGTTTATTTTGTATTGAGCATTACTTACTGAAGACCTTTTTTACTAAAGATTTTTTAAAATGCATTTCTTCTAAACTGCATCATTACTCTGTGAAGTAAATATCCCTATCCCCATTTTACAGATGACAAAAGTGAAGTTTGGAGAGATGAAAGTCACACACCCAGTAAACCAAAGAGCCAGGATTCAGACCCATGTGCAAACCAGAACTGCCTCATGAGAGCAGGTCATAGTGGCTTCCCCAAGCCCTTGGGCAACCTGACAACCCCTCCACCTTGCCAAACAGACCAGCACTGGCTACAGTAAACCTCTGGCAATATCAAAGCTTAAAGAAAGCAGAAATTTTTTCACAGCCCAGGATAGAGAGCTTCCTGTGGAGTTGAGTATAGCAACCAGCCCAATTCGATGAATGGCCCAGCCCTCCCCTAGGACCGGAGCTGTATAAAAGTGGTTAACCACCAACACTGCAGCCAGTATTACCTCCCACCAGGCTAAGAACCCTGCTCAGCCAGTGGACTCTGGGACATCTGCAGGAGATCACTCTTCTAGCCTGCCTGCCTAGTTCCAATGGAAAAGGAAGCCCCATCTGAGCTGGTCAGGGGCCAGAGCAGTTCACAAAGGTACCGTGCCTGGGTGCCAGCCTCACTCTCAACCCCCGCAATTCAGTCATCAGCTTCAAACACTGGGAAGATTGTACCAGGCCCTACAAGCCCCAGTGAGTGACCTGCTTGAGACAGATTCCCAGGCTTTGGTTCCAGAGCTCAGCCTCAAGAGTCCTGGCAAGAAGTACAGGCTTCCATTCTCTCTTATGGGAAGGATGCCCAAGATAGCTGCCTAAGCACAGACAGACCCAAAGGGCACCGGAAAGGGGCCTGCTACCTGGGGTGGTTTGGCTAGAAGGAAAGAGGTTGTCAAATATTGTGGAGTTTTGGGGTCTCAGAGAGGAAGTGATTGGGGGAGAGAAGAAAACTATCCTGGTCCTGTATAAAAGGGACTGGTTAGAAATTGTACTCTTGACCGAGCTCACCTTAGGAGGCAAGAAGAAGGAAGTTAATATCTACTGAAGGCCAAACACTTTACATACTTTGAATCATTATAACAATTATCCAAAATTTATTATTTTCATCTTATGGAGATGGGAACTGAGGTTCAGAGAAGCAGAAGAGATTTGTCCAGGGACCTGCTGGCCAATAACTGGCAAATGTCAAGCTTTAGCACAGGTCTCTGACAACTCAAACCTAGGCTTTTCCACTCTAACATGCTGCCACATGCACTCAGATGAGAGAATAGCTCCAGTTCCTTTAGAAAATATAAGACAGAGCCGGGCTCGGTGGCTTAGCCTGTAATCCCGCGTTTTGGGAGACTGAGGTGAGTGGATTGCCTGAGCCCGCGGGTTCGAGACCCGCCTGGGCAACTTGGCAAGACCTCATCTCTACAATAAATCAAAAACTTAGCCGGGCGTGGTAGCGCGCGCCTGTAATTCCAGCTACTTGGAAGGCTGAGGCAGAAGGATCACCAGAGCCCAGCAGGTTGAGGCTGTGGTGGCTAGGAGCGTGCCACTGCACTCTAGTCTGGACAACAGAGTGAGACTCCAACTCAAAAAAAGAAAAAGAAAATATAAGACAGCAGAGAATAAAATAAAATACTTAGGCATAAATGTACTGAGAAATATTTTAAACCTGCAAAACATCCTGAAATACAACAAATATACCTAAAGAATGGGAAGACATAAAGATTCAACATTATAATAATGGAATTCTTCCCTAATTTATATATTAACATCACTCCAATAAAGGTAGCCTCAGTATTTAGGAGTGAAGGGAGAGAAAATACTATACAATAATAAAATATATTTGAAAGCGCAGATAAGCAAAAGTCGCCATGAAAATCCTGAAACAAGAGGAAAATAAGAAGGAGCTCGACACAGAAGACATATCATCAATTTCTAATACTTTTTAGGATTCTCTCAAGGAAATGAGGGCAAAGGCAAGGAATAGAGCAGAAGGCTCTGTCACTTCCACCTCCAAATTCTCTCAACTATGTTACCTTTCTTCCTCATCTCACTGGTTTCCATCCTCACCTGGCCCCATTCTCCCCTTCCCATCTCTACACTAACCCTCTTAGCTTTCTTTCCACTTCTCAAATGTGGCAAGCTCCTTGTCATATTAGTACCTCTTCATACAGCTCTCTCTCTTCATGGAACATTAACCACACCCTTCTCCTAACTTCAACTTCAGATTGCAGCTTAAATGTCACTACCCCAGACATGACATCCTTGACCACCCAATCTAAAATGAGTCCCCTCATTATTCTATCTTTAGTACTCTTTAATTTTCCTTCACTATCCTTATCAGAGTTTGAAATTATACATTTATATACACGCTTATGTGTTCAACCTCCTTCTCTCCCATTAGACTATGAGCTCCATGAAGGCAAGGATGGGATCTACTTTGTTCACACTCACAACTCATCATTGGATCTGGCCAACAGTAAATATTCAATAAATATGTGTTGAAGAAATGAATGTATAAAGAGAGAATTAGGTCCACTGGGACTCTGCCAGAGGGAGAAGGAATCTTTTTTTATTTTAAAGTTGTGGGATCCAAGTCAGGATTGTGTGCATAAGTGGTTTAGGTACAGGTGAGGTTTTGGGCCTCCAACTGAACCTCACTTCCCCTGGATTAAGATCAGGTATCCCTCCCAGGTCCTCAGCTGGCCCACTCCACAGCCAGACTCCAACCCTGCCCTTGACTGTGGATGCTTTGAGAAGTGGCCACCAAGAGGGTCTGAATGGTTTTATATCAATTTTGCTGTGGTTCTATTTGTATCTGTAAATATTGTGCTCTATAGATAAGATACAAATAAATATTACCCACACAAAAAAATCAGGTACCCTTATTGATGTGACATGCCTCCTCCTCCATAATGTCCCACTACTGCCAATCCCTTTTTTGTAGTATTATTATTAGGTGTTCATGGTCCACTTATGAGTGAGAACATGTGGTACTCAGATCTTTGCTTCTGTAATAGATCACTGAGTACGATAGACTCCAAATCCATTGAAGTTGATGGACTATTACACAGCCATAAAGAAGGAATCTCTTTCAAATTCCTCTCTATCAGATCCAGAATGAAACAGAATCCACTTCCAATAGATAGCCATCCTATGTGTGCAGAGGAGACATAGAGTCTCAGAAGTAAGTGAGTGGGGAAATGTGTGCTGCCTTTCATAGGTATCCAGATTCTCTTTTTCTATCTCTGCAGATTCTAAAGCTAATATTTTAACAGAGAATATTACAACTGACAGTTGGAATAAGGAACTACCCTACCATTTTCAAATCTGCCTGCAGATAAGAATATGCCAAGATTGCCATTTTTGTCTCCCTCCCCTGCCTGCCTCAGCCACATACACAAATCATCATGGCTTAGGTACCCTTTGTATACCATTTTTAAGGCTATTTTGTTTTTATTCAGGCTCTCACTCTGTTGCCCAGGCTGGAGGGCAGTGGCACAATCACAGCTCACCACAGCCTCAACCTCCTGGGCTCAGGTTATCCTTCTGCCTCAGCCTCCTGAGTAGCTTGGACTACAGGCGTGCACCACCACACCAGGCTAATTATTTGATTTTTTTTTTGTAGAGACTATGTTACCCAGGTTGGTCTTGAACTCCTGAACTCAAGCAATTCTCCCACTTCAACCTCCCAAAGTGCTAGGATTACAGGTGTGAGCCACTGCACCCGGCTTAATCATTGTTTTTCAAAGAAAAGTAAAGCCAACAATAAGATGATGTGTATGTATCTGAGAAAGAAACAAGCAGGACTAACAGGTCATGAGATGTGGGTAAGGGGTTTCTTACCCAGCTTCTTTTTAGAGACTGGGACTACACAGATCTTGTTGCAGCCAAACGTGCAGCATTTCTTTACACCCAAACAGGTCTCATCGGTGACACACCTTTTAAAACAGGATTGTTTCCTAACAATCCTGGGACAATCTCCTTTCCTCCCTGTAGCAAAAAGAGAGACAGTCACAAAAAGAAGATAACAGTTCCTGGTGACACTCACAAGCATAGCAGAAGGGAAAAACAGAGCAAGAAAGACCTGAACTTCCTTTAAGCCTCTTGACCCTGGTACTAAAGCAGAGACAATAACAATAATAGTAGCTAACATTTACTGTAACATTTACTGATGTTTTACCTTGTCCCACAAACATCTTATTTGATCCTCACAATCAACCATGTTGTACAGATGAGAAAACTGAGACTAAAAACTTAAGATTTAAGCCAGGTATGGTAGCTCATGCCTGTAATCCCAGCACATAGGGAGGCTGAGGCAAGAGGATTGTCTGAGCCCAGGAACCTGAGACCAGCCTAGGCAACATAGCTAGATCTCGTCTCTACAAAAAATTAGCTAGGCACAGTGGCACATGCCTGTAGTCCCTACTACTCATGAGGCTGAGGTGGAAGGATCACCTGAGCCCATGTCAAAGCTGCAGTGATCTGTGATCATGCCACCGCACTCCAGCCTGGACAAAAGAGTAAGATTCCAACTCAAAAAGAAAAACTTAAGATTTAAAAAACGCTGTTTAAGGATTTAAAACATCTGTCTGGCTCTAGTCACTGTCTTAAACAGGCTTCCCTTCACAGCTCTGTCCTCCAGTTTTCACAGGAACTCTGATCCAAAGTAAAAGACGTAGATAGTCAGTGGTGCATTCTTTTCTGATAGAAGGGAAAGAACTGGGGGCACTGAATAATTAAAGGAAAAGGGACCCCAAAAGGGTAAAGAAGTGCTCCAGACAAACTAGATTTAATGAGCCAACCTAGGAGGTAGGAAGCACTCTGGTTCTATCTATTCTAGAAGCAAGGTCAGAGAATACACTGGGACATTGCCCCTCATGCCAACATACCCTTAGGAATGTCTCCTCGGCAGACCCGACCACAACCAGTAAGGCAGCACTTCTGCCCAGTCGGACACGATTCATCATTCTGGCACAGTTCTTTGCATGGATTCTTATCAGGAGGGCATTCTCCCTCTTTCACTGCAAAAGAGATCATGTAGAGAAAAAGTTAAAAGATATCATGGAAGTCTGAGGTAACAGGTCAACCTCAAGAAATGGGGAATGGAGGCCACATATAGTTAAAGGATCTTCAGCCTCTCCAAACATTCCTAGCCGAAATATCTCTGCAACCACCTTCCCCTCCTACCCAACTACTAGCATGCATCTACACTACTAAAGGACTAGCCTTTCTGCAAATAAAAAGAGGCAGGTTGAGGTGATCCTGTTATAAGGGAAAAGCTAGAACCTCTAGTAAGCCTGAATGAAAGTCCTATCTCCTTGTCCAAAGTGGGTAAAGAGAGCCAGGAAGACCTACCCTAGCTATCCTGAGAATCTATTCAGCCAGTCCTATTCTACAGAAATGATCATCTCCACAAATGAGCAACCTCACTCTGGGAAAAGGCATGGGGTAACATCTCCTCTAGTCACTTTCTGCTACTGTTATCCAGGCATCCCAAGTGACAGCTCACCATGCTCTCCTGCAGCTACCCAGGATGCCAGGGGCCCAAGAGTAAGTGTGTTCAGAAGAAAGAGGCAGCTTAACATCATGATGATGAGAACTGAGATGAGAGCTCAGTTCAGGCCAGAGGTATACACCTTGCCCAGCATATCAACTGAAGAAAGGGAAAGACTAGGGATTGGCCTAAGCCCAGTCTCTAGTCTTCCATTTCGCAATATTCCCAAGAATGTCTTCTCCTGCCAAGAAGAATGATTGGCTGCTGGTGTGTGGAAAAATTCCTGGCACTACCAAAGGACACATGTGACGGGGTGATCACACCCTGTAGTACAATATACACAACACCTCTAGACAATAATGAGAAACCTAGTGGGTAACTGGAAAAAATTGAGAGATCGCCATTGGATAAAGGATCAAAAAGGGCCCTAAAGGGCTTTGAAAGGATATAACTGCAAGTGAAATGACAAAGGGAAGAATTACAGACATAATTTAAGAATAGTCAAAGCTAGTAACAACATTGTGGCCCTGTTCATCCTAGCAACCTAGAAAAGACAGAATGGACAGACCATTTAGAAATTATCAAAAAACTACAGTATTTAAGTTTGTTTGGAACTAATACAAATGCACTAAAAAGCTACACCTTGGTCCCCTCTAGCCCACACAGGCCATTCTTGGACTGTATGAAGGCTAGTTGACAGAACCCAAGACAGCAGTTGCTATAACTCGAATAGTCTTGCCCATACATACCCTTTCTGTAATTCCTTTTCCTCTATTTCTTTTTCTTTATTTTTCCTGATCATATCTTTGGTCAACTGTGATACCTAATCATGTCCACTGGCACTGCTTAGCCCTGTGAGGTAAAAGGGCAGGGAATATTCAAGGCACAAGGTAAAAACCTTCTTAGCAGGGTCAGAGTTCAGTGCCAGGATGTTGCCCTTATTGTTAAAAGCATGATGTTGGAACATGGAGATATTTAACATTTGTTGATGACCTAATATGTGCTTTATATACACTATCTATTTTAAATCCTCACAATAATCTTGCAGAAGTAAGAAAACTAATTCAGAGGGGCTGGGAGTGGGGGAAATGCCCATAAAAGTGGTGACCAGCTGGGCATAGTGACTCATGCCTGTAATTCCAGCACTTTGGGAGGTGGAGGCAAGAAGACTGACTGAGCCCAGGGGTTCAAGACCAACCTGGGCAAGACCTCATCTATATAATAAATTAAAAAACTAGTTGGGCATGGTTGCTCTGCCTGTAGTTTCAGCTACTTGGAAGGCTGAGGTGGGAGAATGGCCTGAGCCCAGGAGATCGAGGCTGTGGTGGCCATGAGTGTACCACTGCACTCCAACCTGGGTAACAGATTGAGACTCCTACTCAAAAACAAAATGTGGAGGCCAATAGAACTTCATAATAATAACGACAGATAGTATTGAGGGTTTACTTGTGTCAGAGTTTTAAGCACTTTACATAAATTGACTCACTAAATCCTCACTGCAACCCTATACATTAGGTGCTATTATCCCCATTTTACAGTTGAGGAAACTGAGGTACAGAAAGTTTAAGAAACGTGGGTCGCACAGCTACTAAGTGGTAGAACAAAGGCAAGAAGTATAATTCCGTAGCCAATGAATGGTCTTAACCACCACACCATTCTGGACTTGAACCCAGATCTTTTTAACTGCAAGACCCATGTACTTTCTACTACTCCAGAGTGTGACCTGGTAAGAGTAACTTTTACTACCATACCTAAGTGGATCCAATTCTATGCGGGGGCGTTTTTACCTCTGAGAAGGAGCTAAGCAGACATCTAGGGAACTCCACTGCTATTAAACCCCTGCAATCCCAGCCCATCCCAGAATCCCCCAGCTGAGGAAAGAGGCTCAGCTCCTTGGGGCTGGCCAAGACCCAACCTGCATTTTGATGCCTGCAGAGACACAAGAGGTAGCCCCTGGGGTCCAAGCCTGGAGAGCCTCCTTGGGTGAGTGTGTGGGTTCCCCCTCCTCTTGTTGGCTTTCACAGTCCCCGCATTAGTCCCGCTCCAACGCCGAGGCTGAGCGCCAGGCGTGTATCATCTAGTTTACAAAGACCGAACGCAGGCGACGCAGTACCAGATGCTCTCCTCTGCTCCCCGACCCTAGGCTGGGGAAGCGGTTTCCCCTCCTTCTACGCCGCACTTATCCACAGGCCTTGTCGGGCCGGGAACAGCCCTTGAACGCCACTGAACTCCCACACTCCACACCCGAGACGCAGCCCTCAGGAGGAAGCCCAAACCACCAAACCCAGTGCCTCTAACAGTCCCTGGCCCCGGCGAAGAGCGGCGGTTTGGTTCCTATGGTAACCTCGCAGCTCTCCACGTCGTGCTTCCGGCCCCGTGAGCGGCGCGCTCCAGTGACGTCACTGAGCCACTTTCCGGCGGGTGGCAGAGTCGAGTCAGGGTTGCGGGTGCTGTGGACGCGATGGGTGCCACTGGCGACGCCGAGCAGCCGCGGGGACCCGGCGGGGCCGAGCGGGGCGGCCTTGAGCTGGGGGACGCGGGCGCAGCGGGGCAGCTGGTTCTTACGGTGAGGGCCCCCCTGGGGGACACCTGTGCTCGGGCCGGGCTGGGCCTCGGGCTCCCGGGACCCTGGCCCGCGGGCTAGAGAACGCAGCGGCTTGTGCTGCCGAGGGGGTTGGCGTTTTCGCAGTCTGACGACCTGGATTCAAATTCTGGTGCCGCCCTCTTAGCTAGGTGACATGGGCCAGTTCTGTCAACCCTCTGAGCCCCAGGTTCCTCTTCTGTAAAATGGATGACGAGTACCTGCCTCATAAAAGTTGTTGGGTTGGGACGGTAAAGGCGGGTAAAGCGCCCAGCACTTTATCTTCCATAGAGTAGACTCCCGGTAAACACTGGTTCCCTTCCTCCTGCCGTTCCAGAAAAGGGGGGGTTGGGTCTTTACAGCAGGACACTTAGTTCCTCTTCCCTGGCAGAGCCTTCCAACTACTAGCCTCCCCATTACCTCAAGGTCCCAGATCCTTGGCAAAGGATCTGAAAAGCAAGGATGTCTAGGTTTAACTTCATACCCACCCTCTACCTCCACCCCACCCCATTGTCACGGATCTCGGTGACATTCGCTCCCTTGGTCCCCACAGAACCCTTGGAACATAATGATAAAACACCGGCAGGTGCAGCGGAGGGGCCGCCGCTCACAGATGACGACAAGGTAAGGCCGGCTCTGGGTGTTACATATGTTCCAGACACTGGCTTGGATAGCGGCTTTGGGAGGCCCACTGCATAAGGCTTAGGAGATCAACAACCAGGAGAAAGAGCACAGGACTGGGAAAGAGGAGACTCAGATTCTGTGAATCCATGTGTGACCTTGAGCAAGTCACTGCCTTCTCTGAACTAGTACAAAATGGAGAGGGAGACAGGAGATGGGTTATGGATTAATCAATAACTAAGATCCCTAACAGTCACTGGGTGTGTGGGTGGGGACTCTTAAGAGGTCAGATTGTATGGAGTTTAAGAGTATAAGCTCTGGAGTTGGACTGTGTTCTAATGCAGACTTTTCACATCTCTTAACTGAGTAACCTTGGAAAAGCCAGGTAACCTCTCCAAGGTTTTCTCAACTGTAAAAAGGAGCTAGGGCCAGGCGCAGTGGCTCATGCCTATAATCCCAGCACTTGAGAAGGCCAAGGCAGGAGGATTGTTTGAGTCTAGGAGTTTGGGACAAGCCCAGACAAAATAGCAAGACCTCATCTCTACGAAAATTTTTTTTAAATTGCCAAGTGTAGTAACATGCTCCTATAGTTCCATCTACTCAGGATGCTGATGTGGAAGGATTGCTTGAACCCAGGCTGTAGTAGCATCTATTCAGCAAAGGGAGCAAGCTCAAGATGGGCCTTTGGGTTGTTGGTTATATTTTTTGACCTGGGTAGTGATAAAGTGGATGTTCACTTTAATTATTTAAGTGTATAGACTTTTCTGTATAAATGTTATGCTTCTTGAAACACTTTGAAAATAATACCTACCTCATAGAGTTATTGTGAGAATGAAATAAAGTCATGTATCTTGGGATCTGCACAAAATCTGAGCATATAAAAAACTGTCTAGAATTAGCCAGGCTCGGTGGCTCAGCCTGTAATCCTGTGCCTTTGGGAGGCTGAGGTGAGTGGATTGCAGGAGCCCGCGAGTTCGAGACCACCTGGACAGCGAGACCTCATCTCTACAATAAATCAAAAAATCAGCCGGGCGTGGTAGCACATGCCTGTAATTCCGGCTACTTGGAAGGCTGAGGCGGAAGGATCGCCAGAGCCCAGCAGGTCGAGGCTGCGGTGGCCGGGAGCGGCCACTGCACTCTAGTCTGGGCAACAGAGTGAGACTCCAACTCAAAAAAAAAAAAAAAAAACTGTCTAATATTGTTGTTAAAGGATTCTGTGTCAATAATTGGCTTGGAAAGAAATGTTTAGTACATGCCCCCTAACTCTGTCTCCTCCTGAATGCAGTTTCACAGATCCTACCATCTCCATGGATCTCCTCCGAGCTGTCCTGCAGCCTAGCATCAATGAAGAGATCCAGACTGTCTTCAACAAGTACATGAAGGTGAGAGGGACACAAGGATAAAAAACTAACAGGAAGAAAGACTCATGCAGTCTCCCCTGCATCACCAATCTCTCCCACTTTCTTATATACACAGATATCTAGAATTTTCCAATTTTGAACTTCCCATTAACTTTTTTCTCTCCTTGGGAATAATTAGAATTTTTTTTTAATCTGTCCTTGCCAATATCAAGTATTTTTTTTTTTGCTGAGCTATTGTGAGGATGAAGCATAATGCGCTCAGCACTGTTCTTGGAACATAACAAGTATTTTTATTATTTGTTTGAAAATATCACCATTGTTGTTATTTAAAGTTTTTTTTTCTGACCTATAAATAAATTTCTACATGGCTGTACCTGAATGTCTCACGAATGCCTCAAACTCATCATATTCAGAAATGAACTCTTTGTTTTTCTTTCTAAACCTCCTCCTCTTGTATTTATTCATCTTCTTAAGAAGTACTTATTGAATGATTACCATACTGCCAGGCACTGGGGATGTAGCGGTGAACAAAACAGATGTTCTCTTTAAACACATGTGTACTATGTTAGTGAGTGAGAGAAGAGGAGGGGAAGAGAGTGACCAGTAAGGAGTAGGGTTGCTGTTTTCTATATTGTGGCTAGGAAAGCCATCTGATAAGAGACATTTGAGTGGAGACCCAAATAAAGTGAGAAGGGAGCCTGCCCTGCAGATGCATAGGGAAAAGCAGTCCAGGTACAGGGGGAAAGGCAGTGGCTCTGAGACAGAAATGTGCTTGACACATTCACAGCAAGAAATTGCCAGGTGTAGCTAGAGCACAGTAAGCCAGGAGAGTAATGGGAGAGGTAATCAGAGAGGTAACAGGGGCCTAGTTCATGCAGAACCTTTGAAGCCATGGTAAGTACTTCAGATTTTATTGTGAATAAAATAGATGTTCTTGGAGTATTAAACAGAGTGTGTCATCTGAACTTTTTTTTTTTTGGTACTGCCTGTGTAATTGCAGCAGTGATCTTAACCTTTTAAAGGATCCCTCTGAGTGTTATGTAGAATGGAAGTAAGAGGGCCAGTTAGGACGCTTCTTTAAATAATCCCAGCCAGAAATGATAGTGACCTGGGTGTTAACAGTAAAGATGTTAAGGAAGAGTCAGAATGTGTATTATTTTAATAGTAGCAACAGAATTTACTGATGACTCTGATGTGCAGAGTCAAAGAAAAAGAGGAAGTAAATGACTCCTAAGTTACTTGCTCTGGGCAACTGTAAAAAATGGAGCTGCCTTTAACTTGATATGAAGAAGACAGGAACAAGAACGGGATATCAGGAGCTCCGTTTTTGACCACAATTCTCTTAGAAATCAGAAGCCAGAGACTGCCTTTGCCATCTTCCATATGCAGTGATTGAGTCCTATATGTTACGCTTTGTAGTCTGTCAAACATTCCTTTCTTCCTCGTCTCTGCCTTGGTTTTGGCCTTCATGATTTCCCACCCAGGCTCCTACTATAGTCCCTAACTGCTTCAAACCTTCTCTGTTTTCAACCTACCCTCCATATAACTGCCAGAATGATCTCTATAATATAAAATAAATACAGTGGTGTCATTCCCCTATTTAAAATCTTTTAGTGACTTTTCTTTGTCTTCTGAGTAAAATCCAAATTCCTTAACATGGCATATATGGGCTACTATAATGAGACTCCAGCCACATTCCCCTGTCTACCCTGGTTATTACCGCTAATTTGCTTATCCCAGAATGTACCATGCTTTGTCACCCCTCCATATCTTTGCAGAAATATAAAGGTAATGTCACTAGAAAAAAGGTAGGCCAGTATTCAGTCCAGGATTGTCTGCCTCTAGAGCACTTTTCTTGTTGCTTTCCAACCGTGGATACCAAGATTAGGACATTTCTTTCCTGGAAAAATGCTAGATAAACACAGCTGTGGCTTTGGGCTCCCCTGTCATATAGTCTGGAAAGATTCCTTCTTATCATACTTGTTCTGACAAGGTACAAATGACTTTACTGCATTACTGCTTCAGGTAAATTTGCATTGACCTTGATTGACCTCATCTGATCACTTTCACAGTGTTCCCAAATCTCAGCTACCTATTTTCCTTTAAAATTTTTAGGATAGCCGGGCTCGGTGGCTCAGCCTATAATCCCGCGCTTTGGGAGGCTGAGGTGAGTGGATTGCCTGAGCCCGCGGGTTCGAGACCCACCTGGGCAACTTGGCGAGACCTCATCTCTACAATAAATCAAAAAATTCGCCGGGCGTGCTAGCACGCGCCTGTAGTTCCAGCTACTTGGAAGGCTGAGGTGGAAGGATCGCTGGAGCCCTGCGAGTCGAGGCTGCATTGGCCAGGAGCAGCCACTGCACTCCAGTCTGGGCAACAGAGTGAGACTCCAACTCAAAAAAAATAAAATAAAATAAAATTTTTAGAATAATAATTTCTAGCTATGGTTGATCTTATCCAAGCCATTGTTAATCTGTATTGATTTATTTTGGTTATTGCTAAATGAATGCCTCTTTCTTATTAATATAGATTATAAAAAATATAGATTATAAAATGGATTTATGGATGGATAGATAGAGGGACAAATAAATGAATCGATAGATAAAGCAAATGCCTTTTTCTTATTAATATAGTTTATAAAAAATACAGATTATAAGATGAATTTATGGATGGATAGATAGAGGGATAAATAAATGAATCGAAGCCGGGCTCAGTGGCTCAACCTGTAATCCCGCACCTTTGGGAGGCTGAGGTCAGTGGATTGCCTGAACCCACAGGTTCGAGACCTGCCTGGGCAACTTGGCGAGACCTTATCTCTATAATAAATCAAAAATCAGCCGGGCGTGGTAGCGCACACCTGTAGTTCCAGCTACTTGGAAGGCTGAGGCAGAAGGATCGCCAGAGCCCAGCAGGTGGAGGCTGCAGTGACCAGGAGCAGCCACTGCACTCCAGTCTGGGTGACAGAGTGAGACTCCAACTCAAAGAAATAAATTAATTAATTAAATTAAATACTTTAAAAATAAATAAATAAATAAATGGATGAATCGATAGATGATAAAGCAAATATAGTAAAATATTAATTACAGACTCTAGGCAGCAGATAGTAGGTGTTTATTGAATAATTCAACTTCCCTATATAATATTTAAAATGTTTAATTTAAACAATTGGGGAAAATAATATAGATATTTTTAAAAATAAAAGTCACTAAAACTCGTATTCCAGACATACCAAACTGTTAATAATGACTGTATAGTCTCTCAGCTTTGTGTGTGTGCGTGTGCATATTCTTTTAAAAAAAAAAGGATCATTTTTTATACATGCTATTCTGCAACTTGATTAATTTCACTTAATATGTTTTGGTCATGTTTCTGGGTCAGTACATAATAGCTCACTCTGATGTTTTTGTAATAATGGCTGAGTAGTCTATTTTATAAATGTACCTTTTTTGTTTGTTTTTGTTTTTGCATTGGAGTCACTCCATCACTCAGGCTGGAGTGCAGTGGCACACTCGTGGCCACCCCAGCGTCAACCTGCTGGGCTCTGGGGATCTTCCACCTCAGGCTTCCAAGTAACCAGAACTACAGACACGTGCTACCATACCCAGCTAATTTTATTTATTTGTTTATTTGTTTGTTTGTTAATTTGTTTATTGTAGAGGCGAGGTCTCACCAAGTTGCCTGGGCTAGTCTTGAACCCGCGGGCTCAGGTAGTCCACTCACCTCAGCCTCCCAAAGTGCTGGGATTGCAGGCTAAACCATCAAGCCAGGCCTTAAATGTATCATAATTTTATTAGCTAGTCCCTAGAACATTCAGATTGTTTCTAGTTTTTCTCTATTACGATCAATACCACAAAGAGCACTCTTAATGTATATCTTTGTTCACTTGTGAGAGTATTTCTGGAGGATAAACTCCCAGAGATGGAGTTGGTGAGTAAAAGGGAAAACATATTTTTCCCCTCAAGAAAATTGCTCACCAGAAAAGTTGTGCCTTTTGCATTTCTAGCAACAGTGTTTGAGAATGCCTCATTAACGATTTGATTTCATTCTTAGATTCAGAGATAATTTACACTCACCATATATCCATTACACTGCCCACCTTACAGGCTGGTTGTAAAGTATCCAAAGCATTTTACCTGGCTTTCACTTAGCCAGTAGTTAATGTCAAACACATTAATTAATCTTCAGATTTTTGTTTTAAAGCATAACTCATATGATCATTTAATTTGTCCTAAAGAATTCCTCCTAAACGCTCGAGGTTTCTAATTCAGACTTTTCACACTCTTCTCCTTAGTATATGATGTTAACAGCAGAGACATTTGACCTTGCTGAATATGAAATGGCAGTACATCCCCATAGTTGTCTTCCACAGTAGAAGTTGGTTATGGGTTCCAGAATTTTCCTATACTCAAGAGAAAATATACTTTTTTCTATGCTTGACTTGGGCTTTTTTTACGAATGTGTTCCCAGGTGCTTTCCAGATGTGTTTGAGGCCTCATCACCATGTCCCCTGATATATTCAGACTCAGGGTCTTCCTCTTACCCAACATAGGAATCATGTCCCTTCCCTTTCCACAACCAATTGTGGCTGCTGGTATCCCTTCTTGGGTCTTACTCCACCCCTACTTGAGCAATCAGAATTCAGTTAGGACTTCCTGTTATTTTGATATTTTCTGACCTATTCACTTCAAGCACAGGCATTTTTTTCTGCTTCAGAAGTAATACATGTACATTATAAAAATTTAGAGGCTAGGCCGATGCCTTGCTAACCTGTGGTGTGGCCATGTGCTCTTTGAGCTATGGCCAGGTCATGTTTCCTGGCTTTGACCCCTCCCCTACCTTGGGGAGGTGAATCTCCTCTTTTTCTCTCTCTCATTTACTTTCTAAATAAATATATATTTTCTAATCTAAAAAAATTGAGAGACTATAGATAAGCCAAGAGCAAACCAGAGTCATCCATAATATCACTGCTATCACTTCATCATGTATCTTTATAGTTCTTTTGTCTCTGTTTACTTTTTGTTTTACATTAATAAGTTCACACTATACCAAACTACTTTATAACCTGCTTCCTTCATTTAGTACTATTATCACAAATACTTTTTTGCGTCAAAACAATATTCTCCTATATCACCCTTACTGTGATTTTTTTTTTTTTCTTTTTAGTTGGAGTCTCACTCTAGCCCAGGCTGGAATACAGTGCCACAATCCCAGCCACTGCAGTCTCGACCTGCTGGGCTCAGGCTATCCTTCAGCCTCAGCCTTCCAAGTAGCCAGAACTACAGGCGCATGCTACCACACCCAGCTAATTTTTTTTTATTTATTATAGAGACAAGGTCTTACCATGTTGCCCAGGCTGGTCTCAATCCCTCGGGCCCAGACAGTCCTCTCGCCTCAGCCTCCCAAAGTGCTGGGATTATAGGCTTGAGCCACCACGCCTGGCCTACTGTGATTTTTAATGTTGGTTTGCATTTTATTTCATGGTGTGGATATGCCATAATTTATTTAAGCTATTCTTGGACATCTAATTTTTTTAAATCTTGCTTTGTTTATACATTAATGCTTTGGGCACCTCCCTGCTTATAGTCTTCTTTTTTGAGTTTGTCTCACTCTGTAGCCCATGCTAGAGTACAGTAGCACAGTCACAACTACCACAGCCTTGACCTGTTGGACTCAGGCGATTCTTCCACCTCAGCCTTCCAAGTAGCTGGAACTACAGGCACATGCTACCACATTTGTCTAATTTTTTTTTTAATTGTAGAGACAAGGTCTCACAAAGTTACTCAGGCTGGTCTCGAACTCCTGGACTCAGGCAGTCCTCTTGCCCCCACTTCCCAAAGGTCTGGGATTACAGGCATGAACCACCACACCCAGCCTATGATTATATTCTCAAAAAAGAGAATAGAGGCCAGGCGTGGTGGCTTAAGCCTGTAATCCCAGCACTTTGGGAGCCAAGGCGAGAGAATTGCCTGAGCCCGGGATTTTGAGACCAGCCTGGGCAACTTGGTGAGAACTTGTCTCTACAATAAATCAAAAAATTAAGTGGTGTGGTAGTGTATAACTGTAATTCCAGGTACTTGGAAGCCTGAGACAGAAGGATCACCTGAGCCCAGCAGGTCGAGGCGAGGCTGTGGTGGCCATGAGCATGCTACTGCCCTCCAACTTGGGCGATAGAGTGAGACTCCAACTCAACTCAAAAAAAAAGAAAAAAGAAAAAGGGAATAGAGAGGGAAGAGGTAGAACCTGGACTATAAGCTAAATCTGTCTGATCCCAAAGCCATACTTGTAATCACTTTTCCCTTCTATATGAGGGTAGGATGAAAGCTTCTGTTTTATATTCAGTTCCCTCTAGGGTGACGCAAATTAGCAGGACTTCTGACTTTGTCCTCTATTGTGCTCCCCTAGTTCTTCCAGAAGGCAGCACTGAATGTGCGAGACAATGTTGGAGAAGAGGTGGACGCAGAGCAGCTGATCCAGGAGGCCTGTCGGAGCTGCCTAGAACAGGTGAGGCCAAAGAAGACAAGAGATATGGGCAAGAGGTTTGGTTTTCCAGCCTCTGCTAAGAAATGTGACGTCTTCAGTGGTATTTTGTGGAATGCCCAACAAGCCACTTATATCTAGATAGGACTTGGAGCTGTTGCTGAGAAAAAGGAAGAAAGGAAGTAGCTACTATATGCCAGGTATATAGTATTATTAGCTACTTGCCTTCTTCCTTTTTCTCAGCAGCAGGAACTCTGTACAGAAGATATTTTTTTAATACCTGTTTTACAGATGAAGAAATTGTGGCTTAGCAGACTCATAGAAGCAGAGAGTAGAATGGTGGTGGCTGGAGGGTGGGAGAAGTACGAGGGATATTGTTCAAAGGGTACACACTTTCAGTTATAACATGAACAAGTGCCGGGCTCGATGGCTCAGCCTGTAATCCCGCGCCTTTGGGAGGCTGAGGTGAGTGGATTGCCTGAGCCCACAGGTTCGAGACCCGCCTGGGCAGCGAGACCTCATCTCTACTATAAATCAAAAAAATCAGCCGGGCGTAGTAGCGCATGCCTGTAATCCCGGCTACTCGGAAGGCTGAGGTGGAAGGATCGCCAGAACCCAGCAGGTCGAGGCTGCGGTGGCCGGGAGCGGCCACTGCACTCCAGTCTGAGCGACAGAGTGAGACTCCATCTCAAAAAAAAAAAAAAAAAAGATGAACAAGTTCTGGAGATCTAATATACAGCATGGTGACTGTAGTTAATAATGCTCTATTATTTGATTGAAATTTGCTAATAGAATACATCTTTTTTTTTTGAGTTGGAGTCTCACTCTGTCACCCAGGTTGGAATGCAGTGGCACGCTCATGGCCACTACAACCTCGACCTGCTTGGCTCAGGTGATCCTTCCATCTCAGCCTTCCTGGAACTATAGGCGTGCACCACCACACCTGGCTCATTTTTTTTTTTATTTATTTATTGTGGAGACGAGGTCTCACCGAGTTGCCCAGGCTGGTCTTGGATTCTTGGGCTCAGGCAGTCCTCTTGCCTCGGCCTCCTCAATGTGCTGGGATTATAGACTTGAGACACCGTGCCCGGCCTAAGAGAGTACATCTTAAGTCCACATACACAAAATGGTCACTGTAGCAATGGATGTGTTGATTAATTTAATTGTGAATCATTACATTGTACATCTTGAATATATGCAGTATTTGTTTGTCAAGTGTACCTCAGTAAAGCTGGAAAAAAATTAAAAAGGCAAACCAAAAAAAAAAAAGAAATTACAACACACAGTAATTAGAATAGCTAATATCTGTCTCACCTCTGCAAGTACTTGGTAGATCTCCTTCAAGTTATCATAGCCCCTTTTGATGTCATGAGGACTAGCACCCTTGCAGCCTCCCTGCCTCCCACGTGTGGTCAGGAGGCATGACATCAGGTCTATAAATGACTGGGTTCCTGAGATAATAGAGAACCTTATTTACATGTGTCAGCTGCTGTTATTAATAGGAATTATTGGTACTACCAGATTCTGTGCTTCACTATAAAACCGTTAGCTGTCAGAGATGGAAATTTCTTCATACCCAGATCTGCAATGACTAGTTTAAGTCTAGTCCTGCAAGGGTAATTATAGTTAGATGAGGGAGAAATGTCTTCTGGGAGGTTGGCTGGCTGACTGCTCAGGCTTAGAGAGAAGCAAGACCAGGGCCTGGACGTCAGTTTTGAAAGGACAGAATTCCATCCTGTCAGTACAATGAAAACCAATCAGGTTCTCATCGACTATTAAATTTAAACCAACTAAATTCATAAGAGGCCAATTCATTAACTTATTCTAGGACTGTAATATGTTATAATCAGTTGTAATATTTGCTAATAATAAAACAAGTTTGCTAATATTCTTATAAGTTTGAGCTGAGTCACGATTAAATTGATTGAAAACTTCACTCTCACTTGCATCTCAAAGTGGTTTCTTGAGTTTATTTTATCTCTTCAACTAATGTTTAGTGAGAGCCTTTTATGTGCTCATTACTGTGCCAGGCCCCAACAGTGGTATGCAAAATGCGAATAGTACTTACCCTCAGAGCCCTTGACATTACTCAAGTAATCATAGAGTATATCTATAATTATAAATGGTTACAAGTGCTATAAGTATAGGAGGCAATGAGAGAGTGCTCTGGAGGGTGCAGAGCCCAGGGACAGAAGGGCATATAGTATGTCTAAGGAACAGAAAGAAGGCAATGTTGCTAGTATCAGAGGATGAAAAGAATGGTACTTTATAAGACTGGAGAGGTAGGTAGAGGCCAGACCAAGCAGAGCACTGCAGGCCAAATTACAGATGTGGAGTTATAAGCAGGAGAGTGGCCTAATGAGATTTGTGTTTTTAAAAGATCATTAGCTGCCATAAGGAGATTGACTGAATAGGAGACTATTCAGGAATTCAAGTGAAGGATGAAGTTAAAGTTAATTGGGTATAATCTGCACTCCATGAATATCTTTTCAGACTCCTGAATCCCCTTGTCTGCCATCTATTGTCACCAGTATTAATGTAGCTAAAAAGTCAGGGTATAGAACAGAAGGTTGTGTGGTCACTGTATAATCAGAGCACAGGGAGGCAAAAAGCCCAGAGAGTTTTATTCTCATCCCTTAAGAGTTTCATCCTCATCCAACATGAAGCTCAATGAATCAAAAAATTTTGAAGTTGGGCATAGGGGCTCCTGTAATCCTAGCACTTTGGGATGCCAGGGTGAGAAGATCACGTGAGGTCAGGAGTTTGAGACCAGCTTGGGTAACATAGCAAGAACCCATCTCTACAAAACATTTAACCCTTTACACTCAGAGACATCTTGTGCATCACCTATCAGCAGCTTGACTGCACTTTTTTACAAAATAGTGAAAAACAGATCACTTCATATTAAATAGTATAGCACTGGAGCCAATGATTTTATTCTAGTGATATTTGGCTTATAATGGAATTTTGGATATTGAGGGACTTATTTCTGACAAAAAAAAAATACAGTTTTATGTCTTATATTTTTCTAACGTGTGGTAACGTGTGAAACAGTCGCTGACATGCCTCGCAGGTTCATTGATACATGTTGTGCAGTAGTAATTTGTTTGACATCCTCCACCTGGTGCTTTTCTTTTTTCTTTTTTTTGAGTCAGAGTCTCACAATGAAGTCTCACTAAGTTGCTCAGGCTGGTCTCAAACCCCTGAGTTCAGGCAATCCTCTCATCTCCATCTCCCAAAGTGCTGGAATTATAGGCATGAACCACTGCATCCGGCCACCTGATGTTTTTCTATTCAACAGCCAATGCAGTCTCATTTTCTTTCTCTCACATTAATAATATTAATTTATTGTCCAGTCTGTTGTTTGAAGACAATGTAGAAAGACATTCTCTTTCTAGCTAATATGTTTTTTACATATATCTCAGTATATATTCCATCTCTTTATTTGCTTTCTTGTGCAGTTCGAGTGGAAAAGCTTAAAGAAACACATTTTTGAAAAATTTGTGCTGGCATGATTTTGTCCTGTATAATTAATTACCAGCAATCTCTTTATCACCCCGGAGAGGGACATCCAAGTGGTTTGCTAGATTTACGACGTCCCCTCAGAGGCGACATCCGAGTGCAAAGGGTTAAAAATTAGCCAGGCATTGTGGTGTAGGCTTGTAGTCCTAGCTACTTGGGAGGCTGAGGTAGGAGGATCACTTAAGCATAGGAGATTGAGGTTATAGCAAGCTGTGATTTTGCCATTGCACTCTGGCCTGAGCAACAGACTAAGACCCTGTCTCTGAAAAAGAAAGAAAAGAAATTTTGAGTGTCTTTTAACCTTTCTGTTCAATCTCCTTATCTCTAAAATTGGGACTAAGACCACCCCTACCACCAGTGGTTTGCTGTGAGGATTAAATGGGATAATATACATAAACCACCAACACAGCAAAGGTACATACAACACAACATACTAGATATAAAATACATTGCTGTTACATTTATAATTATTTCTGCCTCACAACACAGCCTAGCTTTCAGGTGGCCAGCATACTTGGAAACTCTTTGGGGACCCCTTGTTTAAACTACATGCACAACTTGTTGCATTAAAAGTTTCTTCAGACTGAATATGATACAATTATACTAGAGGGTTTTTTTGGTTTGGTTTGGGGTAAGACTTGCTCTTTACCATCTCAGTGGTGTTCCTTAATCTCCTTAGCTACCCCTTTTAGGTTTTTCCTGGGGAGAAATGGCTGACCTTACCTATAGTGTGTTGCCTTCAGTTTGTCACTTGTTTTATTGTTTTGCAGAATAGTTGTTTTTGTTCATCTTATTTATGCAAGTAATATACATTCTTCAAGAGAAAATTTTTGTGGTGGTTAAGAATGCAAGCTTTCTCTTGATTTAGACTGTCCCAATATGACTCCTAGCTTTACCATGACTAGTTATGTGACCTTAGGCAAGTTACCTCATCTTACTAAATCTCAGTGTTCTCATCTGCAAAGTGGGGATAGAGGTTCTATCTCATAGGATTGTTGTGAGAATTAAATGTGTCAATACTCTTAAAACATTTAGATCAGTAACAAAGATTCAGTAAAAGTTACCTGTTGCTGGTATTACATTAAAGTTAGAAAATATAAATTATAAGGAAGAAAATTAAAATTTATCATAATCTCCCTACCTAGCAATAACTTATTTTTTCTTTCTTTCTTTTTTTTTTTGGCGGTTTGACTGGAAGAGCAATAGCTTCTATTGACATTTTGGTGTGTTTCCTTGCCGTTTTTTCTCTAAATATGTTTTTATTCAAGTGTGATTGCTTATTCATTGGTGCACTGGGAATACAGTAGTGAGCAAAAAAGGATCACCCTTTCACCCACAATCCCTTTCGGCTGCCACACTATTTCTTTGTTCTCTTTTATATTCAGTCTTGAAGAAAGGTTGCCAACAGTCACTGGCTCACTTTCTCACCTCCTCCCATTAATTCTATTTACCTCTTCTTGGCTTCAGTCCCCACTATAATACTGGAACCTCTCTTTTGCCAAGGGTCACCAGTAACCTCTATGTTGTCAAACCCTGTGGACCCTGTCTTCCACTTACTCAGCTTCTCAGTGGCCTTTGTCA